GAATTCAGGTGACATTCTCTGTTTTTCCTCTTGATTGCTGGTTCACCTATAGCTTTGTCTTCCCTCTGATTTTGATTTGCCAGGAATCCACAAGACCCTGCTCCATCTCATAGCCTCTTTTCATTTCAACTTCCATGCAAGCAACTCTATTTCACAATTCACGTCCCCAGGAGAGATAATATGATCAGTCCTTCTCATCTTTTCAAATCCATCCATCGCACAAATTTCTAGCTGGCCTTTGGGCCAGATGCCTACTTTTGACCTAATCGGCTGCTAACAGGAAAGTCATATGGCCTTCATAGCAAGGAATCTGGATAAGGAACTTTTATTTACAAGGACTGTGACCTGATACCTAATGAGACCTCTCTCAGTGATTATGGAAATCTGCACAGATCACTTAATATCTTTAAGCTTTCCGTTCCAACTTCACAAGATTTTTGTGATCATGATCTGAGACCATTTATGTAAAAGTGTTCTGAAATCTCTATAGTAAAATAATATATGTGATATAAATATACATAAATTTAACTTTTAAATCATTTAGTTAGTTCTGTTATGTAACGATTGACTCTGAATAACTTGTGGTCAGTCCTCAAAAATAAGGTGCTTGGACTTGAAAATGTGTGGGTTATTTTTTAATATATTTTGATATTGATTTCTAACATAATTCCATAGTGATAAGAGAACAGACTCTGCATGATTTCAATACCTTTAGACCCTGGAATATTTGCACCTTGTTTTATGTCGGGTGGCTCAGACAGTAAAGTGTCTGTCTACAATGTGGGAGACCTGGGTTCAATCCCTGGGTCGGGAAGATTCCCTGGAGAAGGAAATGGCAACCCACTCCAGTACTCTTGCCTAGAAAATCCCACGGACGGAGGAGCCTGGTGCAGGCTACTGTCCTTGGGGTCTCAAAGAGTCGGACACGACTGAGCGACTTCACTTTCACTTTCACTATGTCCCTGGATATGTTCCAGTATCTCCTAGTTTATAGTCTGTGGGAACTTGAATAGAAATTATATCCTACTGCTGTGTGAAATTCATATAAATCTTAATTATGTTCAGTTGGCTCATGGTGCTTGTCAGGTCTACTATATCCTTCTGCTTTTCTATATATTCATTCTATTAATTTTTGAGAGTTGGATATTAAAATTCCAACTGAAAATCTTAATTTATCTGCTTTAAAAAATAATTGTAATATATAGTAGAACTGTATGCAAGTTTGTTCTGTATTTTCCAAGTCTCTTGTAAATGTGTTATCATACTTTCATGATTTAGAAAAAAAAAATGCAAGTACAAAAATAAGGTGCCTGGTAAAGATTCCCTCAAAAAAACAGTCTGATTCATTCCATATGACATATACAGAGGTACAAAAATGAACCAAGATCATCTAAGAAAAACACAGCCAAGTCCTTCTGTTTGGAGTGTGTCCTTCCACTAATTTGTTTAGATAGTTTTATTGAGGTATAATTTACATAACATAAAGTTGGCCCATTTTAATTGTACAAGTTAACAACCTTTGCGAAGCTTTCAGAGCTGTGAAACCATCACAGAACCCATTCTAGAACATTTCCATTACCCCAGAAAGATGCCCTGTGTAAGTCTATAACTAATCTCTACTTTCACTCCCAACCCTAGGAATCTCTGACATGCTTTCTGTCTCTATAGACTTGTCTTTACTGAATATTGCGTGAATTGGAGACACACAATGTCTTTTGCATTGGACTTCTTAGCATAATACTTTTGAGATGAATTTAGGTTGTAGCATGAATCGATGATTTTGTCTTTTTTTTTTTTTCTCCTGGCTGAGATTATTGAGATATTGTTGTATTCCATTACAAGGATATACCAGATTTTGTTTACTTGTCCATTGGCTTATGGCTGTTTGGGATTGCTTTCATTTCTTGTAATTATGAAAAATGTTGCTACTACAAACAAATATTTTATTTGTTTATATTTTTCTTGGGTAGATATCCAGAATGGAATTATCAGATTTCATGATAAGTTTAACTGTTTAAGAAACTGTAAAGCTATTTTCCAAGTGGCTGTAACATTTTACAGTTAACATCCTCCTAACAAAGTGTGAGGGTCCCAGTTGCTACATGCCTTTGTCAACTTTTGTTATTATCTGCAGTTTTTGCTATACCGAATAGTATAGTTTTTTACTATACTGTGATTAATAACAGTATACTGTTATTATATTGCAGTTCTTAGTGGGTAAGAAGTGACTTCTCATTTATTTTCCAAATGTAACTATACTGCATTGATAAAGGGCTATTACTATTAAGGTGGTGCAAGAAATATCCAAAGAATATAAATTCAGTAAGAGTTGCTCTGTCCCTGCCTTTACTCAAGAGGAGAGATCTTACTGTGATTGTCCTTTTCTTTTGAAACTTATATAGCTTAGACCTGTTACTTGCAATTATCACTGGAGAATACCAAATGCATTACTATTGCTCTTCAAATTACTGTCACATGTATTTATCTCTGCAGTGGCAGGCATAATGCTATTTTTCTGTAAAATTGCACATGTTTACTAAAAGAAACTGTAACCAAAGTGGAGTGGATAAAATACGAGCAGAAATTATAGCAAATGGATGTAAATTAGAAATATATACTGTATTTAGAAAAATGATAGAAGATTTTATTGTATACTGCAAAACACTGTAAACATAATAATTTGACTGACTAGTTGACCTATGGATTAAACTTAAATGTATAGCAGGAATATCTTCCCATTTACAAAAACTACCATGCACAATAAATGGGAAAGTGGGAAGTGAGAAAAACATGGGAAGCAGAAAAAGTATGCAAAAAGGGAAGATAGAAAAGAGATAAGAGGATTATATTGTGTGACTTATAAATGGTATAAACAGACACTTAAGTATCTAATTCCATACAATTCATGCTGCAAAGCACTATCAAGGTGATTAGTTTTGGTAGTAAGGGAGAGGTATCTCAGGAATGACCTTTCCTGGAGTACAAGGAATACTTAGTTGCTCAGTCATGTCTGACTCTTTGTAACCCCATGGACTGTAGCCTGCATGGGGATTCTCCAGGCAAGAATAGTGGAGTTGGTTGCCATGCTACCCTCTAGGAGATCTTCCCAACCCAGGTAGCAAATCCATGTCTCCCACATTGCAAGTGAATTCTTTACCATCCAAGCCACCAGGGAAGCCCAAGAATACTAGAGTGGGTAGCCTATCCCTTCTCCAAGGGATCTTCCCAACCCAGAAATCAAACTGGGGTCTCCTGCACTGCAGGCAGATTAATCCATACATGACTACTGGAAAAACTATAGCTTTGACTAGACAGACCTTTGTTGGCAAAGTAATGTCTCTGCTTTTTAATATGATGTCTAGGTTGGTCATAGCTTTTCTTCTAAGGAGCTGTAGGCAGCTATAACTCAGAAGTTCCTGGGCAGTGATTCAACTTGTCCCCTGGCGGGATGAGTCATCTTAATGATGCTCACTCCAGAGCAAGAACCAGGAAAGGGAAGTATTGATATTTGTAACAATACCTTAAATACATTAAAGGAACTCAGCCCTGAATACTCATTGGAAGGACTGATGCTGAAGCTGAAGCTCCAATATTTTGGTTACATGATGCGAACAGCTGACTCATTGGAAAAGACCCTGATGCTGAGAAAGATTAAGGGCAGAAGAAGAGGAAGTCAGAGGATGAGATGACTGGATGGCATCACGGATGCAATGGACATGAACTTGGACAAACTCTGGAAGACAGTGAGGGACAGGGAAGTCTGGTGTGCTGCAGTTCATGGAGTCACAGAGTCAGACACGACCGGGAGACCAAACACCACCACCATCTTAATCCAACTATGTATTCTCCAGGTATATTCAGCAATGTCTACAGGCATTTTTGGTCGTCACAACATCCTGCAATTCACAGGGCAGCCCCTGACAACAAAGAATTATCTGGTCCAAGTCAGGAGTTCAGAGTTGAGAACTACTGCCTCCAGTGGAAACACACAGATAACTACTATAAACTCTACCTGAGTGGCAATTTATGGCCCCAAATCAAAGCTCTGCAGAACACAAAGAATTGACCTTTTACCGAAATTGCTGGCAGTCTCACTTGCAACTGTGTGTACTTTTTGGATTTCTAGGCCAATGTTTTTCTTCATGATCACATTCCTCTCAGTAACATTTCTGTAGCCTGCTGAGTGAAATTGCTAACATAATCTAATCTTAACAATGGGTGGGAAAATGGGAGTGTTTGCGTATGTGTGGGAGGTCTCTTCCTGCCAATCTTTGGCACACCTGACATACTAAAACTATCTGAAAAAAATTAAAATTCATAAATGATCCAAGAGATGTTTCAGATGCATGCCTGCTAAGTTGCCTCAGTCGTGTTCGACTCTGCAACCCTGTGGATTGTCACCTGCCAGGCTCCTCTGTCCATGGGATTCTCCAGGCAAGAATACTGGAGTGGGTTGCCATGCCCTCTTCCAGGGGATCTTCCCAACCCAGGAATCGAACACGCATCCCTTATGTCTCCTGCATTGGTGGTGGCGGTGGGGGGTTCTTTATCACTAGAAATGCCTGGGAAGCTTGATGTTTTAGATAAGTGTTTCCAAATCCTTCCGTCTTGCCTTTCTTAAAAATTGCTTTAGAAAGAGTCAAACAAATTCCATTTGCACTTTATCTCTTATGTCTTCTGTGTTACTTATTTAAAACTTAAAGCAAATACAATAACATGTCTTAAAATCCAGCTTTCAGAAAGGAAGAGGAAAAATAAAAAAAACTAAAAGCATAAACTGGATAAGCAATTCCTACAAAATGGTCCAAATAGACTTTAAAAATTCCTCTACTTGGAATAATTCTATTCATAGTAACTCACAACACAATTTCATGATCACTGTGAACTCCAAAGTTCTTTTACACTTTTTGTTTATTCTATTTTGCAAGTCAAAGAAAAGGCAAATTAACTCTTCTGACTTTTAGACTCAGATTCATGTAGGAATGAGTGGGTTAGATACATATTTTCATGGTAGTTTTATTTTTTTGTAATTTCTCATTTTCTTATTGGAAACTTCTGGGAAATGATGTCAAATATACCTCAGATTTGTCTCTTCCTTGAGAAACAAGGAAAGGGAAGCTGGGAAGTTATCCTCTGGTTGTTGTCAGTCATTGGCTAAGGGCTGTCCTGGAAGCATCTTCTCCCCAGCTTGTCCAGCCTTTCCCACAGGCGGAGTCTGATGCTTGCAGCAGACTTCATCAGCAGGTACTGGAAAGTGAGCTTTTGGGTGATCAGGACAGGGCATAAAGCCCCATACTAAAGAATCAAAATGAATGGCTGCCAAGAGAAAATGTGGACACAGGTTAAAGGCACCCATTCTTTTTTTTGTTTGTTTGTTTGCAGAGTCAGACATTTTTTTTTCCTAAACAAAAAATAAATATTACATTGCTTTTAGGAAAGTTAAAAATGTATCCCCTAAGTTGAAAACAAAGGGCTTCCCTGGTGGCTCAGATGGTAAAGAATCCACCTGCATTGCAGGAGACCACGGTTCTATCCCTGAAGTGGGAAGATCCCCTGGAGGAGGGCATGGCAACCCACTCCAGTATTCTTGCCTGGAGAATCCCCACAGACACACAATCCTGGCGGCCTACTGTCCATGGGGTCACAAAGAGTCGGACATGACTGGACGACTAAGCACACACACACATACATAAGTTGAAAAAAGAAAGCAATAATGTAACTGCGCTAAATCAAGAGATATGAGTGTAGGAGAGATGGGAGGTGGTAAAACTATACTTTCCTCATCTTGCCTACCAAGAAGAAAACAGAAGATGACTTACCGTGAAATATAAAGATGTTTATGATTTGCATTTGAGCTTTCTTTAAAGAAGAGTAGGTGGATGTCAGTAGGTGGTTTTATGTTTCCTACCATCACTTGCAGCTCTGCTAAACTCAATCCTTCTTTCTTGTACCTTCATTATATCTTGAGAGGATTCTGCAACTTTCCGGCCACTTTGAGTTACTAAAATCCAATCTAATATAAAGCAGCAATCCCAAACTCAATTTAAACCATAGCTCTTCTTTTCCTATTCCATGTCCATTTTCTAAAACAGATTTGGGCTGCATGCTCAGTTGCTCATCGTGATGGAGGAAAATGGAATCCTCTCGGACCTTCTTCTCTCCATTTTCTCTGTTTAGCTCTTTTTAGAGGAAGACTTGCAAAAGCAGACAGTGTAGTGATGAAGTTCATCTAAGATAGTTAGCTGAATGCTGATGGTGACCACCAGACCTGGCTTGAGTTCACTGTCCTTGCTTCAGCTGACCGCCACTGTGGAAACAGTCCACAAGCGGGTGGTATCAGTGTTTTTCATAAAGCAGTGTCCACCTAATACACAGTTCTCTCTGACAGCGAGACTACATTCACAGATAGCACTATGTCTCCTGTTAGCTATGACAGTGGTTTGTGCCCAGAATCCCTTCTCTGGAAGGGACAAAACCTTACTAGGCTTATCAGTCACCTGAGCTCATACTCCCTCATCAGACCTTTATGCCCCACCCCATGGAGCCACAGAAATTGCACACATCCTGCTTTGTAGCCCTCCCAAAGTTACAGAGAACTGAGATGGTTTGGGGAACTGTTGCTCCCACCTTCTTCCCATAATTCACCACAATCTTATCTCACACTATTATCACAGACTACTTGAAGAAGCCTCCCATAGTACAAAATCAGAAGGCCATAAATGGGCACAGTCTCTATGTGTTACATATGTCCCTAAACTCTGGGGGGAAATTGACAAACTTGTCCAAGAACTCACATGCTCCCTTGCACTCCAAGGGCAGGACCAGTGTGGCTGTTTAGAGCATGGAAATCAGCAAATATCCAGCCTTGGATTGGGCTGAGGGTGTTCCTTTATTGCCGACATACATATCTATTACAGATTCTCTTGGAGCTCCTCTCACTTCCTGAGAAAGGAGAAAGTCACTGTAAACACTACTTCTCAATGTCTCTCATGATGACCGATTTAGACCCACCCTCCTCTCTTGTTCTCTCTCTGTATGATCTAAGGGTAAGGGCACTGAATATAGTTAGACCATTTCAGCAGCCCTCTTGTGGAGCTGCAAGAGAAAGGACTTGTCCTTAGTAGTTCTATCTTTGGAATCTGGAGCAGAGTTTTTCAGACTTCACGGTGCATGTATATCACTTGAGGATGTTGTTAAATTACATATCTTGATCCATTAAGTCTGTGATGAGGCATGAGATTCTACATTTCTAACAAGCTTCCAGGTGATGATGATGCAGCTGATTGACAGGCCACACATTACACAGCAGAGATAGACCACTTAATAACTTTTTGACCATGATTGTGCATGCTCTTAGCTATTAATTCTAAGAAAAGATGGGAGAAGGATGTACACAGACAAGGCAGGAAAGGATACTTTTCCACTTAAAATCCTTTTATATTGAGAAATAGAGTATTTCCTCCCATATCAGTAAACACTTGATGAAAGTGAAAGAAGAGAGTGAAAGTAAAAGACGAGAGTGAATAAGTAAATTGGATGGCATCACCAACTCAATGGACATGAGTCTGAGCAAACTCCAGGAGTTGGTGATGGACAGGAAGCCTGGTGTGCTGCAGTCCATGGGGTCATAAAGAGTTGGACACGATTTAGTGGCTGAACAACAACAAGGAAATACAAAAGCTTGAAAATAAAAAGTTTTTAAAGGTTGCTGCACTTATTGGTAGACCCCTGAGTAACTTTTTCTCTTCACTTTTATTTGGAATCTTCAATTCTATTTTTTCAAATGCAAGTGAAGGGACATAAAGAGCAGTTCACTCTGGTGCTGAAAGTAAGTAGTTTAAGCCTTTCTCCCTTAAGATGGATATCTTTGTTTACCAAATATTTGTTAACCAGAAGGAAATTTAAAATACATTAAGCTAGACTCTGGGGGGAGTACTCTATGACTACATCAAACTGCTTTAGCATTCCTCTTTGTTAAAAACAGAAAAAGTACAACCTGTCCACATGTCTTTAGAATATAAAAGCGTGAACACTTCTATAGTCTTTCTGCTAAATACAAATTTATTAAACTTTAGAAAAACTTATCTAACGGGTTATTCAACCTGAGAAAATAGAGCTCATATCTCAATTCTCTGAGTGTTTTGATCTGTATTCCTGCGTCATAAGGTTCTTCCCACATTAACCTGTCAAGATTTTCATTCCGAGCTCCTTTCTAAGATGTGACTCCCCTAACACAAGTTCTTTATTTGTTCTACATGCTTTTCTGTCCCTTCCTCCAGAGTCACTATCTTGGATGTGCTGTCGAGGTTGAATAAGGAAGGATTCCTGCTCACGGACTTCATTCCGGTTTCCAATTTCCGTTTGGGATTGGCGTTTCGTTCCCTGTACACTCAGCGCCATCTCTGGTCATGATCTGGAACTGCAAGCCAGAAAAAAAACCCATGTCATTCTTAAGCCCAGCAGTGCTCTCTAATGCGTTCTGGGCTGTATTTTTATCCCCATATCTGCTGGAGAACTTGACAATGGCTTGTTGCCACACTGTCTAATCTTAGACTATCCAAAGCCAAGCTAATTAATTTATAACCTAACAAAGTGCCAATGTTTAACTAAGAACCAATTCAATGAGTTGAGGGCTAGGCTGCATACAGTACAAGGTGAAACTTTGAAATATGTTTTGTTTCTATATCCCCAGAAAATATCCTCAATTGTTGGGATATTTTATGTATATTCACTTTGCAGGACTTCAGTAAATATGCAGTTATGGAAATAATTGCCTCAATTTTCATTTTGTGTGTTTCAGACATGCATTTTAATTTTGTCTGACATCATGTTCAGTCTTTCTCGACTTCTTTCTCCCCATCTTTATATTTTTCCCCTTTCTCCACAGTCCTCTTCTTTTTTCCTTCCTCTTGTGTGGGTAAACCATGACTAAACATTTGAAAGACAGATACTTCATTTTGATTGCTTTTCTGACTGATTAAAACTTGTTTATCCAAAATATCTTTATCTTCAGGGTCTGACTGTATAAGATAGCTTGATTTCCAAGCTGAGCTGTTATTATTCAATATAATGAATCACTATATATTGCCATTTAAAAAGCTATGAAATTTTAACTAAGCCTTTTATGGTTTCATGTAAAGAAGTATATCTTCTGAATCCATTTACCCCTATTTCAGGTGGTAAAGGAAAATATTTGGGGGCTAGAAAAGATTGTAAAATTGCTTGATCCATATTATAAAAGTTTATATTTTTGCATTGTTATTTTGGCTGCAAAAAAAGCTAGTCAATTGGATATAGCTATGATATTTAATTTTTCTATAGCTATAAAATGCAAAGTCAGAGCTATGCTAACATAAGTTGAGCTGGTATACAGACATTCCAAATAGTTATTAAATAATTTCTAAGTTAAAATAATCATCAAGGCTGTATATTGTCACCCTGCTTATTTAACTTCTATGCAGAGCCCATCATGAGAAATGCCAGACTGGATGAAGCCACAAGCTGGAATCAAGACTGCCAGTAGAAATATCAATAACCTCAGATATGCAGATGACACCACCGTTATGGCAGAAAGTGAAGAACTAAAGAGCCTCTTGATGAAAGTGAAAGAGGAGAGTGAAAAAGTAGGCTTAAAACTCAACATTCAGAAAACTCAGATCATGCCATCCAGTCCCATCACTTCATGGGAAATAGATGGGGAAACAGTGACAGACTTTATTTTCTTGGGCTCCAAAATCAGTGCAGATGATGAGTGCAGCTATGAAATTAAAAGACGCTTGCTCCTTGGAAGAAAGGCTATGACCAACCTAGTAAGCATATTAAAAAGCAGAGAAATTACTTCACCAACAAAAGTCCATCTAGTCAAGGCTATGGTTTTTCCAGTAGTCATGTATGGATGTGGGAGTTGGACCATAAAGAAAGCTGAGTGCCAATCGATGCTTTTGAACTGTGGTGTTGGAGAAGACTCTTGAGAGTCCCTTGGACTGCAAGGAGATCAAACCAGTCCATCCTAAAGGGAATTGGTCCTGTATACTAACTGGAAGGACTGATGCTGAAGCTGAAGCTCCAATCCTTTGGCCACCTGATGCGAAGAACTGACTTATTGGAAAAGATCTGATGCTGAGAAAGGTTGAAGGCAGGAGGAAAAGGGGATGACAGAGGATGAGAAGGTTTGATGGCATCACCAACTCTATGGACATGAGTTTGAGCAGGCTCTGTGAATTTGGTGATAAACAGGAAAGACTGATGTGCTGCAGTCCATGGGGTCGCAGAGTCAGACATGACTGAGCTACTGAACTGAACTGAGCTTATGGTAGAGATAATGTCTGCACAATCTCTTTTTAAAATTTTAGGAATTTAATTTTTCTTAACACTTTCCTAATTATTAGTGCTTTTCCAGAATTTTTTTTTAATCTAGAGGAATACTGATTATCCATATTATCTATCTGGAATATGGTCTGTCGTTGTCTGTTGAAGAACTTGATGACTATTTCCATGATATAACTGTAGGTTATATTTTATCAGTCAAGGTTCTGACATCTAGATGTGTATTTGAAAGCTTACCCAAGAAAAAAAATTCTCATGTTAAGCAATGGCATAAATTCTAACAAAAATATGCTTGATCACTATAAAAATGTATTAAAAACAAAAATAAATTGTAGATATGTTTTCATAGCATAAAATGATAAAGATCAAGCCCCTTTCTCTGTACCAGGTTAAGGATCCAGGAAATAAGGAATTTGCAAGAACATGCCCTCTATTTCAATGGTCAGTGAATGAAATTAGAAATTAGCAGAATTCTTGATTTACAAATTTATCTTTTGGCATTTAATTTAAAAATAAATACAAAAAGACTCAGAACTTCAAGATATATTGGCATCTTCATAGCTCCATGCTTAGAACTGGCAGAAAGTTAATGACTGACATCTGTCTAGCCAGTCGGGTTAAAGACATCCACCAGTGAACCGTGAAACCCAAGAGAATCCTGAAGAACTTAAGAAGATGGATGGAAAGGACTAACCTCACCAGATATTAAAATCATCCAATCTATAGAGCACCAACTATTTTAAAACACTGTGTGCTTCATGCATTGTTCAGACAGAACAATGAAAAAAGATAAATACTCTGAAATATATACCTAAATAGAATATGATAAAACAACTATTTTAGATTTGTGGATGTTGCCGTTTTAATATATGATGTTGGGATAGTTGGATAGTATATAAGTAAAAATTTCCATTACTCACACCAAACAATAGGATAAGCTTCAAATGGATCAGAGATTTAAATTAAAAGTGAAATCACATGAGTATTAGAAGAAAACTGGATGAATTACTCAATAATTTGCAATGAAAATAACCTACCCATTTAAGATTCAAAGTGTTAGAAAGTGTTACTCATGAGGTTGTGTCCAACTCTTTGCGACCCTATGGACTGTATCCCTCCAGGCTCTTCTGACCATGGGATTCTCCAGGCAAGAATACTGGAGTAGTTTGCCACTTCCTTCTCCAGGGGCTCTTCCCAATCCAGTGATCAAACTTGGATCTCCGGCATTGCAGGCAGTTTCTTCACCGTATGAGCCACCAGCATGAGTTTTAAGATTCAAAATCCAGAGGTAAGAAAAAATACACAAAAATTTGATCAGATATTTTAAAATTTTTGAAGGGTTAAAAATACCATAAGCAAAGTAATGTTACTAATTTTCAACTTAAACCATAGAGAAATAATTAATATCACTTATAGAGTATGAGCTTCTAAAAGAAAAGATGAGTGCAATTGTATGATACTTTGAGTATTCTTTGGCATTGCCTTTCTTTGGGATTGGAATAAAAACTGACCTTTTCCAGTCCTGTGGCCACTGCTGAGTTTTCCAAATTTGCTGACATATTGAGTGCAGCACTTTCACAGCATCATCTTTCAGGATTTGAAATAGCTCAACTGGAATTCCATCACCTCCAC